GCGTAGAAATTTTTCTGCATAGTTCATGAACCCAAACATGGTGTTTGATATCAGTCACCACCCAAAGCATAAAATTTCACTGAGTTTTATAACAAGCACAACATAAAATGCTTATTGAAAGGTCACTTACTTAAAGGTCAAGGTTATTGATAAGACAATTCATGATGAGATTTTAGTTGTTGTTTCCTTTCATCATTTTGTATTGCTGAAGAAAAAAGAATGTTCAAAGTATTATTGACAAATACTGTTCGGAATAGATTAATTATTAATTGTTATGTGTTTATTGGTTTTGTTGGATATTTAGAGGAGAACTACAGCTAATAGTTGTATTTAATAAAATTCTGCAATGATGAAAGAAGTTTAAGCAGACACCTTTATCAAATGCTAGATCTTATTCACTTTCTTCTACTTCAAAATCTGTTGAAACAGGCAAGTCTCTGGATCATTGTTGGTCAGGTATAACGGCATAGTCATGGTACATTAGAGTTTTTGTCATCTGTTTTATTGTTTTACAATGATGTTTTTATTTCACATAGGAGCAGAGACTAAAGGAACTAGGCCAGTCCCCCCAGACTACCTCCAATAATCCCTTTGCCACACAGACTCAGAACGGAACGAGTGATCTACTGGGGTCCCCCACGAAGTCAGCTCAGCCCCCCTCAGCGAGCGACGACCTACTTAGTCTCACGGGAAACCCTTTTGTTTAGAACGTACAGAACGTCATGGCGATGCAGGCCGCGACACAAGCCATGAGTCAACCCAACTCCTTTGCTCAGTGGAATAATACACAGAATCCCAGCATTCCTGGTAAGGTCATGAAAAGGTCACATCTGGAAATGTAAGGTTTACCCATAGGCAGGGTCCTTGCTGTCATCTTATGCTGTCTAACATATTGATATAAAGTTTTTCCTTCTCATTGCATTAAAGAGTACAGAATCCAGACGTTAGAGAGGTTGAGATCTTAAACTTGTACGTGTACTTGTGCATATACTTTGACATACACGTACATGTTTTTGTAATTTGTCTGTAGAGATTTTAATGATATACGTGTACACCGCGATCGGTGTCTCTGTAACAACTTTTTAGAAGTTTTGTTACATCAGTTTGATTTTAGGAAGTTAACAAAACATGATCAAAATAAGTGCTCATGAAACTAAACATCTTAAATAAAGTATAACAACAACATTTTCACACATAAATTGGCTATTTTTTATCATTTAAGCTACAAGTTTTTTCTTACGTGTAGATGCTATTCTACAAGTTCTAAGGACGTGTAGAAAACTCGACATCACAAAATTGATGACGTAATACGCGAGGAATTTAGGTAATTCCCCTACTAGACGTACCCGTATACGTACACGTATGAAATCTCAACCTCTCTATTATAAACCTTTTATCCCAAGAGCATGTTGTACTGTTTCACACACAGTGCATGTACATTAATATTTCCCAGCCTTTATATAATTAATTAAAAGATGAGTTTCTTATTAAGTCGTTTAAAAAAAGCCCTCAATAAGAGTCGTCAATACCTGGTTTTGATTGGTTAATTCTGATGACTTTGTTCCTTGCTAGCTACGAGTGGTTTGTTCACATCAGATGCTGATTTTGAGAAAGTGTTTCCCAACCAATCTGCCACCATGTCGACGGGTATGATAGTCCTTTGAGCATGCTCAGTCTTGGTGGTATTTAACACTGTGCTAACGACAGTTTTCTTGTTTTGTTTCTGTGTATAACACCACATACTGCTAAATAAATTGGAATGGGATTTTTTTTAAAAAAGTATTTACCACTTTTTATGAGTATAATTTCTTAACACTACATTGTATGGTAATATCCATCTGTTGTTATTTGACGTACACGTCTTGCTAAAAGTTTAGGCTAATTAGTGACTTAGAGCCAATTGAATAAAAAATATTCACAATTTTAAAGTTAGATACAGAATCAAGTGATCGAACTACCCTTAGTTGCTTGTCTCTTGCATGATTTTGTCATTTAAACTTGTTTGAAAAAATATCCCTGGATGAATCTGCCACATTAAGTTGTAATTAATCCCAAGATATGGAACATTGTACAAGATAACAGCAGAGGGGATCACACAACACTCTCTGTAACAGGGGCCAGGGCATTCATTGGGAAAATCTGGGACATTTGGGGGAAAGTTAGGAAATCAACAAATATAAAAATTTTGTTCTGGTGTTTGGATATCAACTTTTTCACTACAAATGTCTGTTGGGGAAAAAAACCCACACCATTTAAATGGGAAGAATGGTTCTTAGTTTGCATTAGGATTGGGTTTGTTCAACAACCCTGTTTACGGAATATCAAGACTTCTGTCAAAAAAATCTAATAACATTTCCTTTTTAACAAACTTTGTAAAGGTACATGTATGTTGTGTAACAGGGAAAGTTTTATTGCAAGATTATATTACAAGGAAAGTTGTATTACAAGATTGTAATACAGGGAAAGTTTTATTACAAGATTATATTACAAGGAAAGTTGTATTACAAGATTATATTACAAGGAAAGTTGGATTACTAGGTGCTGTATAATCAGCCTGATTATTGTTGTAGTTTACAGAAGGTATTACATACATGTGTTCCATCACTTCACGTTTTTTTTTTATCCTTTTCTGTATTATAATAGTAGAATGTTGTTAAATGATTTCATATTGTGTACTTTATTCTTATTTTCAGTTTTCTCTCTTTGTTTGGTTGCACATATAAAATATACTAACAAAGCTTATCTATTGATTGCATGTACACCAAATCCCCATGCCATTGTGGTAAACACTAAACACATATATTGATAAATAAAAAGTGCTAAAATATCTTACTGAGCAACTTTTACGGAAAAGATTAAAAAAAAAAAAGAAAAAGAAAAGAAATTGAATTAATCAAGTCTTTGGAATTTACACAATTTTCTTACTAAGTGAAAATAATCAAGGGAAAAAAAACAATGTAGAACAATGGCCTGGAGAGGTGTGTGTCATATATTACTGATTGTCTCTAACTGCATGTTTATATTTACTGTCTGTCTCTAGGCCAACTAACAGATGCCACAGGTCTCTTAGTTCCCCAGACTCCACAAAAACCAGGTACTGTTATATACAAAGTGTACTGTAGCTATATAACCAGACTGCACTGTAGCAGAATTATGTTACACAAGATTTTGCCTTCAAAGCTCACAATTTTACCTAAGGAATATTTTTGAACTCCCACAAAATCATGTACTTCATGATAGATTACAATCAACAACAGAAGAAAGTGTGTTTCTTGATAGTCATGACCTTACCATACAATGGCTTACTGATTATAGAAGCTTAGTGCCTTCTAAAGTCTTGAATTTTAATTTTAGACTATTTGGCTAGAGTAATACACTGTAGCTTAAGATATATAAGGGAAATAACTGACATTTTCTTTGTGCAAGGTAGATAACTCTGCATTGTTTTGTTTGTTCACACTGCCAGGCCTGCTGTCTCAAGAGGACACTCTAGAATCTCTAAATCCCCTTATGCCCACTTCCCAGTCGTCCACAGTAACCACCAATAGCGGACTGGCGTCTGGTGTTATCTTTAGTGTGGATTGTCCTAAAGAAGACAACGCATCTCTGTTGTCATCCTTTGGGAGTTCTGATGTAGCAGGCCTCGCTTCTTTTGGGAGAGGAACAAACATTCTTGGAGCTAGTTGTCCCAGTCCTACCATTGGAAACATCAGTACTGTAGGTGGTGCAGGAGCCACCATGATGGGGACAACCTCAGGTTTACTCAATTTCTCCTCCATACTGCTCAGTCTACAGTCACAGTGTTAAGTCTATTGTTTTCAGTTTTCATTTCTGGATAGAACTTATGACCATGTGGTATGGAGGAGATTAAATTTGTCAGTGGGTGTTTAGGACAGTTCTGTTTGTAACGTAGGCTCTGTCAGAATTATCTCTGATTTCACTTTGTGTTAAGTCCCCCTATCTGAGTTTTAGTATTGTGGTTTAGTTTAGAGAAACATTTTATGGTTGTTTTCTTATTTTTTCTGTAGAGTTTGATATAACCTTTAATTTCTTTCTCCCCCTTTTTTTGGCATTATGAGCACAGCTGGATGTCTTTTTGTTTCACTGAGTGTTAAATTTCTAGTGGTACTTTTTATTTCTTTGTTTATGACTCAGAGATAAATAGGGTCATTTGATTTCTCAGCAGAAAAATCTGTCTATTATGATTGAAGCAGTATCTCTGAAACAATTTGTTTTATTTTCTTGAAATGTATAGGAATGAAAGGACATTCTAAGATCTTGAGAAGTTTAAATAATTTTCACTGCTGCACTTTCATTTGGTATTTGTGAGCAAGTTTTTCACTTTGATATTTTGTCCAAGCATCAACTCAAACAGCTTTGACCTTACACACACACACACACACACACACACACATATATATATATATATATATATATATATATATATATATATATATATATATATATATATATATATATATATATATATATATATATATATATATATATATATATATATATATATATATGTATGTATGTATGTATGTAATTCAGGGATGATAGACCATGGTCATCAGGTCATTAGATGTACACTAGTTGTTTTGTTTTCAGAAGTAATCAAAATATTGAAATATTTGACTTCAATATTTCAATTCATTTTAATTCAATTTCATTCAACATCAAATGGTTTTATTTATTTATCCTCAGGCTGTTAAATAATAATTAGTGTTGTATTCACTTTACGTTTTATCTTAAAATCAAATCAATTTATAAATATGGTTAACTCTACATAATTGAATTCATGGAATTAATCGTCATAGCAAACAGTTCAGTGAATATATTGAATGAAAAAAAGGAGTTGGTTGTTTACTGCTAAAAATTTTGTCACTTTAGTGAAAAAAAAGATATATAAAGTAATGGTTTCAACTTAGATATTATGTTGCAGAAGACATACTTGTTTTGTGTGGGGAGATTGATTCTATTAGTTGTGTGACTGTGTGTTTTTTTGTGTGACATGTCCCAAATCTTTATTGTGTTTGTTAGATTTGTGTTAGAGACATTTAAATATGTATCCATTTGGTTCCACTTTCAGTATACCCAGGGCCACCAATGCCTGCTAGCCCAGGTTAGTTCACAATGGAATTCAATCAAATATTTATTGTGTACTCCAGATAATACATGAATAAGACACTGCTGTGCTGTTGGAACTAATATTGATGTGTACGTTCATTGTGTTTTCTAATAGTGTTGAATATTTATGAAATGTACTGGTTGTCGATTTGTTTAATTGTTCATTATACTATTGACTGTGGTACTAATACCATTGCAAAGTAAACCGACTTGAGTGACTTGAGTATTGAAGTGATTTTAAAATCAAAGTAAAATGTTCTGCTTTACAAGCTCTCCAACACAGAAGTTTGACTCCTACTTTTAAAGATTCAGGTATTAACTAGATTCTAGTATTATACAGTATATTGATTTCATAACAAAATGGATAAGAATTATTGACTCTTGCAGTGCAATTTCCACAGAACTTTTGATATTGAAAGCAAGGTCAATGTATTTTAAGTGTTTGTAATTGGTTTTATTTGCCTACTAATATCTAGAGTTTACTTGACTCTGTTGCCTTCCACAGCTCCAGGACGTTTAAGCCCCGCCCTTGTTTCCACCGACCAATCAGGTGATCAGGCTGTCACATTCAGTTTCTCCCAATCTGGTTTTTTTTTATTGTTTGTTTATAGTTATGTTCTTTTTTCTTTTGTATTTGAGTTTCAGGTTTGAGTCATGTTTCATCATGTTGATTGTAAAGTCCATTTTTCAGTAGATAGAAATTTCTAACTTTCTTATTATGCCCCGCCATGAATATGGCCGGGGCATATAGTGTTTGTCATGTCCGTCTTCCGTCCTTCCTTCCTTCTGTCCTTCTGTCCTTCCGTCCTTCCGTCCTTCCGTCTGTCCTTCCGTCACACTTTGCGTTTAGCTCTGTTCAAAGCTCAGTTTCAAAGAAACTATCCAAGATATTTTTATCAAACTTCATATGCTGATAGATATTGATGAGGGCTATGCAACTGCATCAACATTTTTTGACCTTGACCTTTCCTTTGACCTTGACCTCACTTTTCTTAAATTAGTGTTTAGCTCAGTTTTAAAGATACCATTCAAGATAGTGTAATGAAACTTCATATGTTGATACCTACTGACGTAAGCTATTCAACTGCATCAACATTTTTTGACCTTGACCTTTCTTTTGACCTTGACCTCACTTTTCTTAAATTAGTGTTTAGCTCAGTTTTAAAGATACCATTCAAGAAAGTGTAATCAAACTTCATATGTTGATACATACTGATGTAAGCTATTCAACTGCATCAACATTTTTTGACCTTGACCTTACTTTTGACCTTGACCTCACTTTTCTTAAATTGGTGTTTAGCTCAGTTTTAAAGATACCATTCAAGATAGTGTAATCAAACTTCATATGTTGATACATACTGATGTAAGCTATTCAACTGCATCAACATTTTTTGACCTTGACCTTACTTTTGACCTTGACCTCACTTTTCTTAAATTGGTGTTTAGCTCAGTTTTAAAGATACCATTCAAGATAGTGTAATCAAACTTCATATGTTGATACATACTGATGTATGCTATTCAATTGCATCAACATTTTTTTGACCTTGACCTTACTTTTGACCTTGACCTCACTTTCCTTAAATTAGTGTTAAGCTCAGTTTTAATGAAACCATTCAGGATATTTTTAACAAACTTCATATCCTGATACATACTGATGTAACCTTTTCAACTGCATCAACATTTTTTGACCTTGACCTTTCCTCTGACCTTGACCTCACTTTTCTTAAATTAGTGTCAAACTTCATATGCTGATACATACCGATAAGAGCTATTCAACTGCATCAATATATTTTGACCTTGACCTTTTCTTTGACCTTGACCTCACTTTTCTTAAATTAGTGTTTAGCTCATTTTTAAAGAAACCATTCATAATATTTTCATCAAACTTCATATGCTTATACATACTGATGTAACCTTTTCAACTGCATCAACATTTTTTGACCTTGAGCTTTCCTCTGACCTTGACCTCACTTTTCTTAAATTAGTGTCAAACTTCATATGCTGATACATACCGATGAGAGCTATTCAACTGCATCAATGTTTTTTGACCTTTACCTTTCCTTTGACCTTGACCTCACTTTTCTCAATTTGTGTTAAAATGTTGCATTACTAATATACCCTCGGCGGGGCATTCATGTCCTATGGACATATTTCTAGTTTTTCAAACTTATTTTTTGAACATATACATGTAATGTAAAAATTTAATGTACATAAAATTTATTTCCCCCAACCGTTTCTGTTCTTGATAGTTGACAATAATCACTGTGCTTTCCCTTTTACATAGATATCGACTCTCATAGAAATAATCACAATTATTATTAAAAGTAATAATCTTTATAAGAGTTGCTGATCCTTAGGCTATAGAAACAAGTTTCAGTAACTCCTGCTCAGAAATATATATATGTAATTTCCTGAATTTTTATGAAGAAAAACTTTCTTTAAAGTACATTTGCAACATTTTGTTAAAGTTTATTTTAAAATTTATATGATTTTTTTAATTAATGCCAAAAAAATGTGTACTTGTATAATTTTTTTGACTGAAATAAAAAAAGTTGTTTTGATATTAGTTTGTACAGTAGTGTTTTGTCTTTTTGCTGTAGGATTTGATGCATTTGGTGAAGTTTTGAAACCAACATCAACTGTAGATGGGATGAACAGCACAAGAAATGAAAAACTTATCAACAAAGACCTTGACTCAAGTCTCTCACAGCTGGCTGGCAACCTCAATATCAAGGGGTCAGGGTCACAGGTCAAAAAGTAAGTCATGAAAGGTCAAAATAGGTTCATGATCTAGGTAGCATGTAAAAGGAAAGAGAGTTCTGATGACAATTTTTGTGTAAGAAGTGTATGATTTACATATTGATTGATGTCAAACATACTATAGCCAAGAAGGAAATTCATATAACGTATAAATAGAATTATTTTTTGATTATGAACATTTTATTTATGATGTCAGAATCAGAAAATTTTATTTAAAATCGGATTTTCAAACAAATTACATATCTGTAGAGCTTTTGACCAACAGTCAAAATAAACAACAAATAAAGCGTTAAATTAATCACAAAACTACTATAATAGGAATTGTAGAAGATTAGAAATTGAATTTTAAAGATAATTTTTTACCCTTGCTATTTTACAACCAATTTTATTGTAAAAATCAAAGAATCAACCTCGTTCACTGGTTTTTGTAATATACTGTATACCACACCTGATTCTGACGTGTAGCTAAGGTGCAGACACTGTTGTGTAAGCTAAATACTAAAAAAGCGATACTTAGTAATTGACAAATAGAATAATATTGAAGTAAATCCTTCCAAATTCTTCAACTGACTGAAAAGAAATGTCTTCATTTAATTCAACATTTTTTTCTTTCAACAGTGTCTGGTTAATTTGGACATAGTTCAGTTTGGATCATGGCATAAGGCCCCAAAGCTATAAATGTGCTTATTCTTTTAACAGTACTTGATTTTATTATACACCCAACAGTGTATTACTCAGTTTTACTGTTGATTTTATGCAATCACATGATGGTGTGATCTGACCTTCCGGATCACCACACTGTGGTTTTCTGAATCCATATCAACTCCCTCTGAAACTGATGATGTAGTACACAGTATGCATGACGTGTTTTTTTTCCTTGTGTATCAAAATGTTCCTTGAAAATTGTTTTGTGTAATGGATAAAGGTTGAATAATTGCATCCCAGATGTTTTCTTTTTTAGTAATTTACTTATTACAGAGGGGTTATCGTACATAATAAATTTATCATTATAAAAGTAACTTTATCCAAAGAGCCGTATTACGTATCATTGACAGGCGCGGATTATCAGATCAAACTCGACGCTCCACGTCTTGATTGATCTGATGATCGGCATCTGTCAACTCGACGTGATACAGCTCTTTCCATCAAGTTACCATCATAATATTATATACTTATATTTAACTTTTGAAACTGTTTGTCATGTTGGACACAGTTGAAGCCTTTTAGAAAGGCTTTTGATATTTTATGTGTAAATCATGGAAAACTAATACCATCAAAGGGTACATAATTACATCTTTAATATTTCAGACAACAGCATGACTGGCAGCCGAAGGGCGAACAGAAGCAGACGGGTGGTCAGAACTGGCAGGGAGTGACCCCCAATGTATCGTCCACCACCTGGACCTCGCCAAACTACGGTCAACCCATGGTAAATAGTCAGCCCAATTTGACTAACCAGTCTACCATGGTTAACTCTCAACAGCCTGTGGTAAATATTGAGAATCTTTGTGGCCTGCGAGTGTTGTCACTGGTGCTTGTTTGAATTCTGTGGTCTGCGATTGTTGTCACCAGTGCTTGATAGAATCCCGTGTTCTGCCATGCTGTCACCTGAGCTTGTAGAGTTTTGCACTCACTTGTCTTGTAAACACATGCTCCAGTCCTAGTTTGGTCAAAATTTTGTGTATTCTGAAAATTTACATTACCGTATTTGGCTGAATATAATACGCATTGGTGTAAAATACGCACCCCCCTTTTTTGGCTTGAAAATTTGGGAAAAAACGCAGTTCGGTTGTATTATACACTGTCAAAAAATTGACCAAGCAGTAATGTTGTCTTTTTTACATCGCGGTAATTTTAACTTAAAATCTTTGTGGAAATAATGTATTGAAAATTTAAGCACGGTAACTTTTCATACGCGAACTTTGTTTTTTGAGCTTACGGTACTCCTGATTTTAAGCATGGCAGTATTATTCATAGAAATAATTAAATTATGCATTATAAATCATTTTTAAGCTAACAGCAATGTTGTCTTTAAAAATTGCAGTATAATTTTATTAATTTTAACAAAGAACAAATGTCGTCCCATTAAATTTATATCAGTCTAAATATATTAATCTTGCACTTAGATCTTCGTATGGTAATGATTTTATTCAAGAAAGCACAAAATATTATTGCATTTTATTTTAAATTATTTTTACCGTAATGTGTCGTAATCAACACAAGTTCATACGAAAGATAATGTACAAAGGTTAAAAATCGACCCCCGAATTTTAACAAAGAAAACGATCAAAGCCACTAATAAGGGCAGTAAATAATCAGTGCTCTAACTGTAAAAACAATGCTTAGGAATTGGTAGATGTCACAATTTTGTTTAATTTGATTATGTTGGTTATGGTGTACCATAGGTTCATTCTCATCGTATAGTCGTTACGGATAGCTGGTCACGGCTGTCAGACCGGTTTTAACAATTTTGTCTACGTGTAAGTTAGTTCTGAGCAGGCCGTAGAAGTGAGAAGGTGTGTCCTTCCTAAGTACAAATGTTGTATGACCTGTGTGGTCGCGAGAGAAATAGCTACGTGCTTTGGGCCTGAATGTTTTGTGTGTGGAGGTGTGCAGATATTCTTTGCATTTTTTTTTTTGGAGCACTATAATACTTGTTTGCACTTACTCTTTGTTCTTTTTCAAAGATTTGGTTACAGCGAGGGAATATTTCCATGCCATTATCACAAATTGTGACAGTAGACAATTTGTTTGCCCGGAGGGGTGTTGAGATCAAGTGACAAGTGCACATGTTCAC